GAACTCCTGAGCTCAAATGATCCGCCCATCTTGGCCTCCCAGAGTGCTAGGATTACAGACGTGAGCCACTGCACCTGGCCTAAAGGTTAAACCTTAATGGCTAGAAGTATTTAGAAGTACAGAAATTATAGGATTCGGTGACATAATTATCACATCATGTTTAAAACACCTGTTTTATCTTATGCTTTATTATTTTGTCAACAGCTTATAATGAAATCTCTTATCAACAGTTTCTGAATTTTTTCCAGCTCTGATTAAAAGCAAATAATTACCTTTAAAATACTAATTCCACAAGCAATCAAGTATAAGGAGAAGAGGGGAAGGAAAAGCAGATAAGAATAAAGTACCATGTAGGAAAAGGAGATAAGGAAATGTAAAGCGGAGGAGAAATGATCACAAGGAAATAAGTCTTTACTTCTGTGAGGCTGTTAGGGGTTCAGACACTTTCTTTAGCAGTAGCTTAATGTAGGAGAAGCAATACTAAACTGAGAAAGAATTGGGTGCCTTAGGTTCTGTCTCAGTTTGGCTATTAATTAGCTGTGAATCCAAGGAAATAAATTTGTTGCTCAGACAATTCCTGGAAACTGAAAGGGCTGGTGGTCGAGGGCTACTGTTAGTCTTTTTTGAGACAGGGACCCTTTTGAGAATCTAACAGAGTTAGGGCCCTCATCCTGGAAAGAAGCAGACATGCACAAACAGCAAATTGCATGGCATTTCAGGAGTTTAAGAGAAGCCCTTGATGCTGATTCCCTGAAATTCTAGAGACTCCTTCCCCAAATTCCCGCCCTGCAGGTTAAGAATTCCTGGCCTAGATAAGACATTCTGTTCACACTAGTACCTGTATGAGTTCTGATATGTTTCTGTAGATCTCCTGAAGTTTTGAAAGATTTAGTACAATTATCTTCTGAACATCGATATGGCTTTTCTCCCGTATGAGTTCTGACATGACTTTTTAATCCATAACCTTTAAGAAAAATTTAAAAGAAATTTAATTATACAATACTCCTCTCTAAACATGCACTTTGAGATCAAGCTATTGAAAAATATACTAAATGCGAAGGATAAAATACTAGGGAAATACAACAGAATAACTATTTAAAATGTAAGAGCATGGACAGCTCAGGACTGTGACACTGAAAATTCAATAGTTTCGTCTCTGTCTGGAAGAGTTGTGTGTTTCTTTTTTTAAAGTGCCCCAATTTTACTAGCTGTTGTTTGCGACTCATATGCCAAAAGCTTGAAGTGGAATCAAGACATGGAATAAGGAATAGAAGTCAGGAGGCCTGGAACCAGTCCTGGCCCCACTGAATGTGTCCCAGGAGAGGCCCCACCCACTGCTAAATTCCAGTTCTCCATGGTTCCCTGAGATCTGTCCTAATGTTAAACTCTATGTCAGCTTTTAAAGTTTGGCTTTTATTTTCCTGCTAAAAGAAACAGGGTATGGAATCAAAAGTATTGAACACACAAGGCAGAGACAAGTCTGTGGAGAAAAATGAGAACAGAGAGAGGGGTGTAGAGCAAGCAGGACCAGAGGCTGCTAAGAGAGAGACTGAAAAACTGATCAGGTGCTTCTGCAGATTCACAGAAAGGCTAGGGGTCAGTTCCTGCCCTGGCCCATCTCTGCTTGACCCCTAATCAGAACAAAGAAACAAAGAAAATTTACGTTTTTACCTGTTGCAAATGCTTTCCCACAGCCTTGGTGCTCACACTGATAAGGCCGGTCTCCTGTGTGTGACCTCTCATGGACCTGTTATTAAAACGCAGGCGTGATTCTATTTCCTTTATGTATATCTCAGGTAGATGATCTCAACATAGACCTATGTTTTTCCCTCACTCCTGGCCTCAAGTGATCCTCCCATCTCAGTGGTCCAAATATTTGAAAGACTATTCAAATATATAGAGTATCTATCATGTACCAGGCAATATGCTAGACATTAGGAATACAGAGATGAAAAAACACAGTCCAAGCCCTCAAAAAATTGACAGTTTCTAAAGTTTGCATAGGCTTTTATGTGTCTGTATATAAGTGTCAGTATTTTGATAAGTGGGACAAAACAGTAGTGTTTGAATGATGCAGGTATATCACATTAGTATTTAATGTCCTAGGTATTCCCATAACCAGATACAGCATTTCTTTTATATATACCTTAAGATGATGAGCTGTTGTATATAATTTTCCACATCCATCATATTCACATCGAAATGCTTTCTCTCCACTCTGCTGAGATTTAGCAGTCACTCTTGTTGCATGTCCTTGTAAGACAATCTAGATAAACAAAAAGTATGATTTAAATTATTTATACAGAAATAAAATAGATGAAATTACTATTTTCAGAAGAAAAAAGATAAAACTGTAATGTGGGTTTCCAGACTCAGGTCATCACTTTACTAAGATTCTATCACTGTGAGTCAGGTTAATTCTATTTCATAGTTGAAGTCAGCAGCTCTAGAAGTATAGTAGTCAAAAGGAGAGCTACAAGAACACACAGCTGGAGCTCACAAATCTATTCCTATTCTAGAAAATCAACCCAAGTAGCACCTTCATTATATGCAGGCATTCCTTGACATACTCAAGGGATAATTCTATATGTTTTTTAGGACATGTGTCCTAAAAACAATGTCAAAAGCATTTTCTACTTCAAAAGCAATCAAAAAGAGGGAATTAGGTCATTTAAGTCACCTGTAGGAAACATTACATTCCATATGATCTTAGTCTGTATTTATATTGACCAGAAGGTAATTTTTCTGGGATGGAGCCACAATACTTCTAACAATGGTACTGATTTTAAAGGCTTTTTAGAGATGACCACCTATTTTAGAAATTAGATACCATAAAAAGTGAAGAATGACTTTCTGCTTTGTGGGCCATACGGTGACAGTGTTGCAACCTCCTATCTCCACAGATTGTCACACATGGCTCAAAAATGACTCTGCCAGAGCCTTTTTTATATTATAAAAATTTCGAAATAACAGAAAAAAGATCATCATGACTGAGAAGATACTACAGGTATTACAGGCTGAAAGTAAAATCTTAAAATAAAAGGCATAACGAAAATTAAGCAGATGACCCTGATGGCTTTTTTCCAAAGAGCTATTAGAATCTCTCTGGTTTCTGTTAAAGAGAAATATCTTATTTCCGTAAGAGATTCTGTCACATCTCACCATTTGCAGATCAACATGAAGTTGTTGGTAAATAAAAATTTCATGAACATACTTTTAATTGCCTCATGCTTTTTGTCCCCATCCTTAAGGAAGTAAATATGCTTTACAGAATTTCTGGTATGAGAACTTATCAACAAAAAATTCTTCATTTATATTACTAAATATTTAGGCTCCGAAATACTCTAGGCTCTGGCTATAGTACAGTGGGGTCATCATAGCTCACTGCAATCTCAAACTCTTGGGCTCAAATGATCCTCCTACCTTAGCCTCCTGAGTAGCTGGGACACTGCGCCTGGCTAATTTTTCTACCTTTTGTTGAGATGGGGTCTTGCTCTTGCTCAGGCTGGTCTTGAACTCCTGACCTCAACTGATCCTCCTGCCTGGGCCTCCCAGGGTGCTAGGATTATAAGCATGAAGCCACTGTGCCCAGCCTTCATTATTTACAGTAGAGCTGATTCTCAATTGCACAGGTAATATTTGGCCTATATCATTGGCCTGACACTTGAACCAACTGTCTCATTTTAAGTATATTTATATTTCCTTCTTTCCCTATTAGTCTAACAGCTCTGTGAAGTCAAGGACTATGTCTTACATACCTTTGGAACTGACAGTACTAGGTTCACATGGAAAATATCACAGGATTTATAAAAGAATTCATACTACTAAAATATATGAACAGAATTAAAAGGAATTAAGTCTTTTCAGGGTGTTTAAAAAGTTCTAAGATTAAGATTGTAATGATGATTGCTTAACTTTTCGAATTTACTAAAAACCACTGAGCTGCACACACTTTAAATGGGTGAATTTTATAGTATGTGAAATATATCTTAATAAAACTAAGAGAAAATAAAAGATAATTAGAAAAGAAAGTTTATTTCTCAAGAAAAAAGAAGAGCCTCTGAATCCTTTAAAAATTAGCTATTATTTAAAAAATTTCACTATTGTTTATGTATTTAAACAATAATACTGGTACACTGGAGGAATCTGAATACCATACTTAAAAATAAAGAGAAAAAGTTCAAGTGAGCTAGAATTCCATCATCCAGAGAAAACTATTGTTAACATCTTGGTGTATTTCCTTGCAGTATTTTTTTTTTCCTTTTTTGAGACAGCCCCGCTCTATCACCCTGGGTAGAGTGCAATGGCATCATCATGGCTCACTGCAACCTCAAACTCCTGGGCTCAAGCCATCCTCCCTCCACAGCCTCCCAGAGTGCTAGGATTACAGGCACAAGCCACTGTGCCCAGCAGAACTGCTTATTTGTAAGTCAGCTGAAGTCACTAGCATTCAGCATGCTATGAGAATTATTGGTAAGGACTGTGTGCAACAGAACTATTTCCACTAATAACTAATTACCCAAAACAGACCAGTCTTAAAGGCATTCTCACAAAGTACAGTAGGATAAGTACCTGAAGCAACAATCAACTAGCAAAAGGAACCTCTTGAAAGAAAACTACCAAAATAGTAATGCCCTACAGCATGCAGTAGATGGTAGTTGCAAAATTCTCCAAAAGGCCAAGGGAGACATATTAAAAAAGCCACTTTGGCTTTTATCTTAATGCATATAATGTTTGAGTGTGATGGGATTCCCTTCCCTTTTACAGGAAATGTTTCCTTGTAAAGTCCTTTATCTCCCAATCTGGGTTAACATTTACCTTCTCAATTCTCAAATAAATGTTTTATTCTATTTGGAACCTGCTTTGTGTCTACTACCTTCTTCTTACCCTATTTCTAATTTAATCACCCTTTCCACCTACCCGCAAGACCATAACCCCCTACCAGTCACTATCATGATAGATAATCTAATATAATAAATACTTAACAAATGATTGGTTACACACCTACTTCATACAACGATAAATAAAATATGGTCCCTGATTTAGTAAGTCTCTCATTTTAGCTAGTAAAACTGTCCTATTAATGAAGGATTACAACAGAATATAATAATTGCTATCATAGTAGTCCATGAAAAAAGTTCTAATGGAGCAAAATGCAAAAGTGGGGAGAGCTGTAGGTTAGGGCAAACTGTCTAAGGGTGAAATTTGAAGGCTGAAGAAAAGTGGTGGCCTCGCATGGTCATGCGCACCTGTAATCCTAGCACTTTGGGAAGCCGAGGTAGGAGGATTGCTTGAGGCCAGGAGTTCGAGATCAGCCTGAGCAAGAGTGAGATCCCATCTCTACAAAAAATAGGACAATTAGCCAGAGGTGGTGGTGCACACCTGTAGTCTCTCTACTCAGGAGGCTGAAGCAGGAGGATCACTTGAGTCCAGAAATTTGAGGTTTCAGTGAGCTATGATGATGCCGCTGCACTCTACTCTAGCCCAGACAACAAAGGTAGACTCTGTCTCAAAAAAAAAAAAAGAAAAGAAAGAAAGAAAAGAAAAGGTGTGGGGAGAGCTATCCATGCAGGGAGAATATTATGGATAAAAGGTCAAAGGTTTGGAAGTGTGTTTGGAAGAAGAAGAAACTTAGTATGACAGTATTACGTCTACATAGTAGAACGAATAACATGAAAATGAAAGGGAAGTTTAGGAACATGCCTGAGAAGAGCTTTAGATACCACTGTGAATCGTGAGCCTAGATGATGAAAGCACAATGAAGATACTGAAAATTTTAAAATAAGGGACCAGTCAAGATTAGCTCTCTGTTTTAGGAATACAACTCTGGGAGTAGTGGGAACAGACTGACAAGACGAAACAGGCAGGAAGACCAGAAGTCTGTATAGTAAATATTGCAGGAAAGAAGTGATGAAAACAAGTCTAGGACAATGACTATGGAATAAAAAGTAATAGATGATTCTACAGATATTTTAGGGGCAAAAATGAACAGAATCCAAAATTCAAAACCTAAATTAATAGGCTAAAGCCATACAGGGACTTCGGGGTTATGCAGTGTCATATATATGCAGTCTTTGTCAAAGAAACAACAACCTGATACATTAACACAAAGGGAAAAGTCTCAAGGGCAATTTAGAAGAAAACACCAGTGAAATACCAATCAGTTTCAAAAACCATGTACAGAGGCCGGGCGCGGTGGCTCACGCCTGTAATCCTAGCACTCTGGGAGGCCGAGGAGGGCGGATCGTTTGAGCTCAGGAGTTCGAAACCAGCCTGAGCAAGAGCGAGACCCCGTCTCTACCAAAAATAGAAAGAGATTAATTGGACAGCTAAAAACATATATAGAAAAAATTAGCCGGGCATGGTGGCACATGCCTGTAGTCCCAGCTACTCGGGAGGCTGAGGCAGTAGGATCGCTTGAGCCCAGGAGTCTGAGGTTGCTGTGAGCTAGGCTGACGCCACTGCACTCTAGCCTGGGCAACACAGTGAGACTCTGTCTCCAAAAAAAAAAAAAAAAAAACATGCATAGAAAATGACTTCATTGGTATTTATGCTTAATGTAAGTCCTTAGAATTAAGCGATAATATTAGCTCTGCCATAAATTCACCATGTAACATTGTGGAAGTCACACAAAGCCTGTTTGCCTGTCTTTAAAAAAGAACATATTATACTAAATCAGTGGTGTTTATTCCCTATCTCTTAAGAAAAAATTCCACTTACTATAATGGCCTAATATACCTGGCAAATATAACTTTTATAATTTGCTATATATAAATTTGTGTATTATGATGTAAATAATTTATACTTTTGGGAGAAGATAAAATGTAAACAACTTGAAGAATTTTTAAAATTATGTTCTCTTTGAAGAAAGGAACTAATCATAGAAGTGTAGTACCAGAGGAACTTTTAAGGAACCATGGGACATATCAACATTGCCAGGATGATTTAAAAGAAAAACAAAAGCAGATTTCTAACAATGATTATCATCAGGCAGTGAATACTTCACTTTTTATTTTTATTAATCTATACCATTCAGATTTTATAAACGTATACACAAGCACCTTTATTTTTAAAAACATACATAATAGCTACATGTATAGTAAGATTATAGGTCATTTTTAGTTTTCTTCTCGGTACTTCTCTGAATTAGAAAAGACTATTAAAATAATATTTTTAAAAATCCTTTGTCCCTGATTAATAATCACTTATCTAATTAACACCTTTCTTTTATTTATTATATTTTTATTCTTTTTTAGAGACACGGTCTCACTCTGTCACCTAGGCTGCAGTGCAGTGGCACAATCATAGCTCACTGCAGCCACGAACTCCTGGGCTCAAGTGATCCTCCTGCCTCAGCCTGCCAAAGTGCTGGGATTACAGGCATGAGCCACCATGCCCAGCAACACCTTTCTTTCAGAGATGAAAAAAAGAGACTTAGAAAAGCAAGGTTCACTTGGCTAAAGATCGAACAGCTAGATAAAAGTACAGAAAATGAACATAAAATGTGATCTACATTGAAACTGCCTATACTAAACAGGTTTCATGATAACTGTCTAACCCATGTTCTGGGAGAATCAGCCAACCCTATCCATAAACCCTAATGAACAGAAAAGATGGTACATTTACAGGGTGGCCAGTCATCCATCTCTGCCTTATGCTGCCTTGCTTAAAAAGTCAAGCTGAGTCTATAAATTCTCTTCCTCTGGAATCTGACCTAAGAAATAAAGGGAATCCTGAGTTGGTCATGGGTAGTGAACATGAGAAAGCGCAGTTGTAATGAGCCATTTGAAAATCAGTGAAGATACAGAGGAAAGCTACATGCAAAGAAAAGAAGGAAGCAGAGATGCCTGGGAAGGGATGCACTGTGGGAGCAGAGGATGGAGCTGGGAGGGAGAAGAAAAAGGAGTGAGATGAGCCTCTATTCACATGATTCTAGTTCCTGGGAGGCCTAGTTGTTCAGTAGTTCCTGTTCTTGGCTTCCTGTAAGCTCTGTTGGATCCTTACAATACATCTCTTTTTTTCTCGAGCTAGTTTAACTGGCTTTCTGTGCTTTCCAACTATTAGAGCTCTAATTAAAGCACTGCCAAACCAAAGAACTTTGATCTCCAATGTACATAAAATTAGTTGTGAGTAAAGTTAAGTCTTGGAAAACTATGAAAAAAGGCCTGGTATTCTAACACAACATGTAAAGCATCAACAATTTAACATCTATATAATGCTTACAAATTTACAAATTGTTATTTCCATGTATTACCTAAAATATTAATTAAATGAAAATCTCATTTGGTTTTCACAATCTCATGAGATCAGTAGGGCAAAGATTATTATAATTCTCATTTAACAGATAAGAAATCTCAAATCCAGAGAAGTTAAGTAACTGGTCCAAAGTCACACAACTACTACATAGCAGAGCAGAAACTCAACCTGGATCTTTTGATTATAAATTATGTACTATTTGAATAGGATGTTAAGTTTTCTACTTAACTGAGGCTGGTATAGCATGAGGACAAAGACAATAGTCATAGCCTCCCTCAAACACACCTCCCAACCATCCTTACTTTTTTTTTTTTTTTTTTTTTTTTTCCCAAGACAGAGTCTCACTGTGTTGCCCAGGCTAGAGTGCCGTGGCGTCATCCTAGCTCACAGCAACCTCAAACTCCTGGGCTCAAGCGATCCTCCTGCCTCAGCCTCCCGAGTAGCTGGGATTACAGGCATGTGCCACCATGCCCGGCTAATTTTTTCTATATATTTTTAGTTGCCCGATTAATTTCTTTCTATTTTTAGTAGAGACGGGGTCTCGCTCTTGCTCAGGCTGGTTTCAAACCCCTGAGCTCAAACAATCCGCCCGCCTTGGCCTTCCAGAGAGCTAGGATTACAGGCGTGAGCCACCGCGCCTGGCCCATCCTTACAGTTCTTACAACTGAACACATAAGTGCTCTTAAAGAGATTATTTTAGATCAGGGTTTTCAAATTCAGCACTATTGACATTTTGAGCAGGATAACTCTTTGTTGTGGGGGGCAGTCCTATACCTTGTGGGACAAGTACCCATTAGATGCGAGTAGTATTCCCCCAATTATGACAACCAAAATTGTCTCTAGACGCTGCCAAATGTCCCAAAACTGCCTCCACATGAGAACCACTATGTTAGATAATCTAGGCCTTTCTTGTCCTGTGAAATTTGCTTTCATGTCAGAGATCAGCTTAGTGGCACAACTAGCATGTTCATGTTACATATGAAAGAAAAAATCTCTACAATGTAAACATCACAATGAAAACAATCTAGAGCTTTGAAATAAGACTATTTACAAAAAAATCTATTGCATTAGGCTATCAATCTCTTTAAAGTTCATCTTTTGGTATATTCTGGCTTTTTAAAATACTATGTACTAGGCCCTCAGCCTCAAATATGGTACTCAACTGTTTTAGAGAATAACAAAGTCAGGAAGTTCTGGTCTAGCATGAATGAAGAGAAAAATATGAATCACAAATGAAAGCCATATACATATATGTAATTAAAAATTTTCTAGTAATCACATTGAAAAAGCAAAAACAAACGGGTGAAATTAATTTTAGTAATTATGTCACCTAACCCAAGATGTCTGAAGTATCATTTCAGCATGTAAGAAATATAAGAAATTACTGATGAGATATTTTTACATTCTTTTTTCATACTAAGTCTTCAAAATACACTTACAGCACATCTCAATTTGAACTAGCCACATTTCAAGTGCTCAATAGCTACATGTGGCTAGTGGCTACCACATTGGACAGCACAGATCTAGTCTGTAAGGAAAAGGTACAAAGGGCAAAGGAGAAAAAGCTACAGTAAAAAAAAAAAAACCAATCCTATTCAACAGTCTTCTATTTCTTTGTCTATTGGTAGCAATATCAAACGGTTATATGTCTGCAGACAAAGAGTAATGGGGCTTTTTATGACATTTTGCCTCAGTTCTGAATTCCTAGCTATGTTTCTGGGTTTAGAAATTACTGATTGATGTGAATAAGCTTTTATGACAACAGTATATTATAACATTATGGAGCCCAATGGTAAATTCACCCATTTTTTTGGGTAAGATTCACTTTGTATATTAGTTTATTACAATTGCCTTGCTTTAAAATACTTTATTATTTTAAAATTTGTTAGTTGCTAATAGGGGAATTATGCTACTTGAAGCCACTGACCTATATCTCTTGCATATATTTAGACCAGATTTGCATTTTAGTAAAGTTTTACTTACATTGATTTGATATAGCATAGTATAAAAAATTCAAGTCTCATTTTATTTGTAAAATGTGAATATGAATTCAAAGACTTGAAAATTTTGCTAAGAATCACATACGTTTCAAAGCTGATGGGCTTAGTGAACTATAAACTCTGTTTATATTATTGCCACTTTGTGGCACCACTTCAGCTGGTAAACAAAAATATTGGCTATTCAGAAATATTCAAAAAATTCTGAAAATATTCAAAATTTTTGAAAATATTAAAAAAGGAAATATTGGCTATTCAGCAATGTTTAGGAGCATCAAACTTCTACCAGTGATTTCAGTGATTCCTGTTCTTTTATCATTTACTATTATTATAAATGTAAAATCTTTCTTGATAACTCCTAATAGTATCATCAGTCATTAAGCGGTGATGCTAATGGCTCAAGTGAAAAAGATGTGGCCCCGAAGTAGTAACTGTAGGAGTTAAATATGACAAAACTCTCTGAAGAATGCAAAATAAAAAGCTTCTAGGAAGAAGCAGTCAGCAAAATGTCAGAGATAACTGCTGAGAAAATAAAGAGCAGCATTAAAGCAAGAATATACTACAATGATTATATAAACTCTAAGAATACCTCCCAATACAAACAGACCCCTCTCTACAAACACAGAAACACCAATTCAAAGCAGCCTTGAGTAATGCAAGTTTTGAATTGTAAGAGATATCCAAGAATGCATCTGTGACCACTTTGAACTTACTACAAAACTTTTAGAAGCACTGGTGCTCTAGGCTGATACTTAGGTAAGGGGTAGCCAATGACTGGACCAAGGGTGAACATTTGAATCATGGGAAGCCAACCCACAGGCCATCTGCAGATCAGGAAGCAGTCTGGCACAAAAAGTACAAATAAGTTTTGCCCAATAGGAACAATGATAATTACCTAGGCTGGACTTTCCCTCTAGAATTTGAAAAGGAAAATATGGAGGCAATCAGTTGGAAGTAGGAGAAACTAGAAGATACAAAAAGTAAAGTAGCAAGGGTTAGTCCCAGTAATGATGGAGTTGAAGACAAAGGATCCACAAACTGCCATGGGTGGGGTTAGTCAGACTGCCTGGTCTCCAAAACTGCCTTGAATTCCAGAATACAAGTGCCACTCGGATTTCTGTGATATTTCTATTTCTTTAGTGCCACTCTGCATCCACTAATGAACCTTAGGACTTGTAGTACTTTGAGAAAGCTACTGCCTAACACATACACTGTTTTTCTGAATTGGTATGATTTTCCTAGAGAGGTAGTGAGTTCCCTATTCTTGCTTTCATCTATAGAAGGGCCTAGAAATGCTAAGAAAGATCCTTACATAAAGTAGCTTTACATACCTGCATTTTTTTCTCTTGTTCATTTTCTCCAATCATTCCAGTACCTGTTACACTTTCACTTCCATCAATGGATACCTACAGGAATAAAATAAACCTCAAAAATGTTTTATTTTTCTTTTTTCTTGAGACAGAGTCTTGCCGTGTAATCCCAACTAGAGTGCAATGGTGTCATCACAGCTCACTGCAACCTCAGATTCCTCGACTCGAGTGATCCTTCTGCCTCAGCCTCCCAAGTAGCTGGGACTATAGGCACATACCACCACTCCTGGCTAATTTTTGTATTTTTTTGTAGAGATGGGATCTTGCTTGCTGCTCAGGCTGGTCTTGAACTCTGACCTCAAGCAATCGTCCAGCCTTGGCCCCCTCAAAGTGCTAGGACTACAGGCGTGACCCACCACGCCTGGCCTTTTTCACGTTTTCTAATCACTAATTTCTACTTCTTAATTCATAAGCAGTTCCCTCTATACTTTATTATTTCTTTTATGGCACTCATCCTTGTATCTTTTTGTGAATTACCTGCCATCCATTTCTTTCTTTCTTTCTTTTTTTTTTTTTGAGACAGGGTCTTGCTCTGTCACCCTGGGTAGTAGAGTGCACTGGCATCATCATAGCTTACTGCAACCTCAGACTCCTGGGCTCAAGTGATCCTCCTGCCTCAGCCTCCAAGTAACTGGGACTATAGGTACACAGCATCACGCCCAGCTAATTTTTTCTATTTTTGGTAGAGACAGGGTCTTGCTCTTGCTCAGGCTGGTCTTGAAATCTTGACCTCAAGTGATCCTCCTACCTTGGCCTCAAGTGCTAGGATTACAGGTGTGAGCTACCGCGCCCGGCCAATTTCTTTTCTATAAACCCTTACCCCATTCTCTTATTTTTCTTCCAATACTTCTTTCTAAACTTCACTTCTTTTAAGATAAGTGCTGATGTCTTTGAAGCTGACTGATTTTGACTTTGAATTGGTGGTTCCTTGATGAAGCATGCTTTTTTGTTTTCTTTTCTTTTCATGAAAAATACAGAACTAGTATCTGGGATGTTCTTGACATTGTAAAATAAATGCTGTACCTTTGCTGCATATTGTTCCAAAGCACTGATGGTGTCGGGGTCAATTGCGGCATCCCCAGTGTGCAGACCTGCCACTGTGCCATCAGCCTGAATTGCCAAGATGGTGTCAGACTGTGGGACTTGCACTGCATGATGGATATAAGCAGTGGTGCCATCTTCCAACTGAACCGCCTGTAATGCGCTCTGGTCATAACTATCTGAGGGAGTGGAAGAGAATGGCATTAAATCAAAGGTAAAGTCTGATAAACATTTACATACTGAGAGGAAGAAGGAAATGAACTTCTACTGAGTAGTTACTATGAGCACTGGACCATGTGCTTTATATGTGATATTTCATTTAATCCTCATAATAATTCTGCAAGGCCAGTATATTCATCACTCCCATTGTACCAATGGGAAACTGAGATTTGGGTAAGTAAAGTCACTTTCCTTAGGAACCAGGAAATTAAAAAATACTAACAATTAACAGTAAAAATTAGTATGTAGAGAAATCAGGATTTGAACTCATGTCAGCATGACTCCAAAGTCCACGGTATTTTTATTATAATGCTATGTATACCAAGATATATATAGCATTGCAAAATAACAAATCTAGCCAATTACAATGAACCTGTGATTAACTGCCATTGCTAAAGAAAAAAGTTGAGTTTACTTTTTCTTAACTTTAATTAAACAAATTTATTTACAAATTTAAGTACTCTAAATTTTAAAAAGATTTTCTCCTTTGGTTTCACAACTAAACATGATAGTCTCTCTAAAACATGATAGTCATTCTATAATAAAATATTTTATAAAGTACTAACAACTAACATTTATTGAGAATTTATGATGTGACAAGCACTGTTTTAAGTGATTTACATGTTTGCCCATTCTGTCGTCAAAACAATCCTACAATGTGGATACTCATCCTCATTCTATAGATGATAAAACTAAAGCACAGGGAAGTTAAGCAATTGCATAATGTCACACAGCTAAAAAACAGCAGCTTTGAACCCAGATTTGAATCCAGACAGTCTGGCTGCAAAGCTGTGCTCGTCATTCCTACACATTCTACCTCAAACCCCTGGTCCTCCCTATACAAAGTTAATAAACATTAACATTTTGCCATATTTGCTTCCAGTATTTTTAAAATTTTTATTTAATTCTAATTAAAGACAAACACAACAAGCAAAGGACCTTGCTTAAAAAATTATATTTAAGAGGAAGAAATAAAATCAACAATTTAACTTTCAAATATTTTAAAAGTAGCCTCTATTTGAAGTCTTCCAGGGGTAAGGGGTATGCTGTTCCAACCTGTTACTGGACAGCTCAAATTATTAGAAAGTTTTTCTTTAAACTGTGCCCAAATCTGCTGCCTTGTACTTCAATGACCAAACACAATTCTTCTTTCCCATGACAACATTTCAGCAGCTAAACACCAGTCTTTTTTCCCTCACACTCCCACTTCTCCCTTATTTTATTCATATTTTCAAAGTTATTTTACCTTTGGAGGTATGGTGAATAAACGCTGTGGTTCCATCTTCTAACTGCACTGCTTGACCATCCTCTAGACGTAAACTGTCCCCTGCTCAAGAACAATGCTTACATTTAGATCCCATGTCGTCCAGTGTGTTCTATTTAACTCACTTAGGAACAATGGGGTCAATAAAACATTAACACAATGTGATTACCTACGCTTGCTTTAAGAATCTTTTGAACATTTAAGTAATTTCAGTAAACTTCTCTGAGTGTTTAAAGGTAAAAAGAATATTTGTTTTAGGAATACATACTAGGAGATGAAGAGAGCTGAAGGAAGGGGAAAAGAGAAGAAAATGAAAGACATATAGGATTCAACTCAAATAACAGAAATATTCACTTAGGACTGCTGGCCATTTATCTCCAAAGTACAGTCCAGGATTCTTTTCCATTATCTTTGGGAGAAAGTCTTGGTTAAGTTAAAATAGTCTTTAGATCTTCTCTGTGGCATTGACTGATCTCTGTTTTCAGAAGAAAAGGGATCAGGACCAAGTTTAGGTAGTTAGAGTGAGCTGGGGGCAGCAAATACTAAAGTCTGAGAATCTGGAGTGTTTTCTATGCTGTATCTTAAATACTTACTACTTTTAGGTATGGGTACATGTTGAACATAGGCAGCAGAACCATCTTCCAACTGAATGACCTGGCCATCTATTAGTTTTCCATCTGGAACAAGAGATTCAAGCCAATAAATTAGCACAAAGGAAAATTTTAAACTTTATACAATTTCAAAATGATATCAACTATAAAAACATACACTACTTAAGCTCATGTTCATCTTGATTCTTCCCTCAATGTTCTGAGGCAATTCAATAACACATCCAGTGATCCTATAGAAAGCAGAAAATCCTCCCTCAGCCATCCTTCCTCCCCTCCAATTCTCAATTAAACAAGTTCAGGAGGAAGAGTGGCTCATCACAGCAGGCTACACGAGTCGAACCTCTACAGAGTTATTTAGAATCAGTGACCCTGACCATGGGGAAGCTGAAGCTGGGAAGATAGATAAGTCAGGGCATCTGAGGCCAGTTGTCATTCTCACTCCTGGGGGCTATAAGACCCTTGTTTATATATACATGTGTTCAGTAGTAATTTTTATGTGTTCCATAAAAACAAGGAGTTTGAGAACCAGGCTATTTCCTGGAGCAAAGTAAACACCAATTCAGAGACAATGTTATTAATATACAAGCAAAACCAAATGTCTTTACTTTTATGTGTATTTGGTAAAAATATTAAACAATAACGAAGTAAAAAAAGCAAGAAAGGTCTTGCTAGAAATAGGTCAGAGACACTCCCTGCTCCCCTACTAATTTTGATATTCCAGAGTATCTTTTAAATATATCAAAAGGTAACCCCAAATTACCAACAGAAATTTAAGTTAAATTGAAATAATTTTAAATTATCATATGCAACATAGCATCTTTAAGAGAGATTGGAAAGGAAATATAGCTAATGGGTACTCCATCTCTGAGGTTATGAATCACTCGTATTAACCAATCAGCCATATATGAGCACATACCTTTAGAATTGTGTTGTATATAAGCGGTAGAACCATCTGCAAGTGTTACTGCTTGCAAGCTTACACCTTCCATATTTTCTAAATTGTCACCATCTATTATAAAAGAATAATTATTTTCCTTAGATAACTATTATATATGCATGCTGATTAAATTACTTTTTTTAAAAAAAAAATGAAGATTAGGCAAAAGGCAGGTTGCTTAACTTAGACTCAAATGGGGTTTCTTTCAGCAATCACAAAAAATTTTTCCCCGCCTTACTGTACCCAGCATCCAACCAAGGTAAAAATGCTCATAGAAAGGCTTAGGTTTGTGTTGCCTTCTGCTAAATTAGGAACAGGGAAGTAAACACAGTGTTGTAAATTTTAATTTTTCCTTAAAATAAATGATATTTCCAAACCCACACAGTCCCTTCAAACATTATTGCTCACCTGCCACAGTTACTGCCTCTGTCAGACACAGGGTAACATGTTGAGCCTCCATTCCTCCTCCAGGAAACTCTGTCATTCCCTGAGAATCTCGATTTATTTGGGCTAACAACATCTTTTACCTTGAAGAAAAATATAGGCACTTGAGAACAAAGAATAGTGCATGTGGAAAAAAGCTACAAAGAATATTTATGAACTACAAAAAATTGCTAATGATGTAAATGGTGTTGGAACTAAGATGAAACTTCACTTAATATTCAAGTAAGAGTATTAGCCCAAAGTCCAAGGCTAATCCTCATAATTCAATAGTAAATTACTGAGCACACTGACAAGTCTTGCCCATCAGTTTCATATCATGTCTAAAATTCCCATAATTAGAGTCCCTTGGGTTGAACATGATTGAAGATTCCCACTTAACAATCCATCAGCAAATGCTGTTGACTCGATCTTCAGAAATCTATCTCCAGGACGGCTACATCTCACACTAACCAATCTTTCTTCTGCGATACTTCAACAGTATTCTGACTTGTCTCCCTGCTTTTATGTTAGCTTCTCCACACTCTTCTCTCAACACAGTGGTCAGTGCCCTCTGAAGGGAAAAGTTAGCTCAAGTCTGTCTCCTGCTCAAAATCCTCTGATAAATTCTCATCAGAGTAAAATCCCGAAGTCCTTACACTGGCCTATCAGGCCAAGGATCTTCTCCATTTCCTCTCATTCATTTCACTTCAGCCACACTGGCATCCTCGCTTCTCCTCAAACACATGGGTGTTTGGCTACCTTAGGACCTTTGCACTTGATGTTCCTTCTGCCTGAAACATTTTCCCCAATATCTTCATTGTTCATTCCTTCACCGCTTTAAGTCTTTGCTCAAATGTCACCTCAACGAGAGCTCTCCTGTCCGCCCGATTTCAAACTGTACCTCCCAACTGCCCAATCACGGTGTACCCTATCCTTCTTTCCTCCTCTATGTTTCTGCATACTGCTTCTTATTTAATATATTACATGTGTTTACTTATTTATTTTATTACCTAGTTCCCCCTCCACTAGAATGAACAGAGACTTTTATCTGTTTATTCATCGCTGACTCAAGTGCCTAAAAAGTGCTTGGCACATAGTAGGCACACAGTATGTACTGAATAAATGGATGAATGGATAACCCTTTTACCAAATACCACCACAACTCCCTTCTTCCTTTTTACTTCCAGATCCCATTACCTCTGTGGGCCTTGGGTTATCTCAAACAGTTGGGATAATTTAGCTGCCTTGAGCCAGGGAACTGGACCAGAAGATCTCTTGAGGGCCTTTCCAGGTCTCAAGATCTGATTTTAGTGTCAATATTTAAAAGAGCAACATGTAGACAGTAATAATTTGTAATTCTATTTATGTTTAGAGTTGCTTGAAGAATTTTGTTTTAGAAACACTATAAATTGTATGTATATGTACCCTCTTTGGACCAAAGGTGGGGACTATGGATCAGATTCACACAAAGGTATCAGTGTTATGATAAAAGCCAGTCAGGTACAAAAGGATCCATAATCTATAACTGCTCATAGAACAAGCTGAAACTTCAACACTTCCTTAACCTCCAAGGGCTAACAGAGAAACCTCAAAGTAACACTAGTACCCTTCTGTTAAGACTCCTGCTGAATATAAGGTTGGGATAGGCTAATTTGCAGTCACAAAGAGACAAATACTGCATGATTCCACTTATATGAAGTATCTAAAGAAGCCAGACTCTTACAAACAGAAAGGAAAGTGGTATTTGGAGGGAGGGAGCATAGGGGAGCTACTCAATGGGTATAGTTTCAGTCATGCAAGATGAAAAACTTCAAGAGAACTGCTGCACAACAATGCGTATATAGTTAACATTACTATTCTGTATACTTAAAAATGATTTAGATGGTAAATCTTATATTTTTTTCATTACAATTAAAAAAATCTAAACACATAACAAAATGTTAGGATCTGTTAAAGTTGAGTTGGTGTTTACTCAATTATTTGTATTCCTCTGTGTGATAGATTTCATAATTTAAAGAATGAAAAATACCCAAAATTACTGGTAAGAAGAAAAAGAACACCTGAAAACTGATGGTTAAAATTAGTAACTATCAGATTTCATCTCTTCATCCCTTAAAAACAAAAAATGAAGTGTTTCTTTACTGGTGTGAAGAAACTACTTCTGGTATACTCCAACAACTTCTAAGTGGCTTCATAAATTCAGATTTTTAAATGTGAAGCCATCAGGCTCGGTGGCTCGCGTCTGTAATCCTAGCACTTTGGGAGGTCAAGGCAGGAGGATTACTTGAGGACAGGAATTCAAGACCAGTCTGAGCAACATAGCGAGACCGTCATCTCTAAATGTGAAGCCGTTAGACATTTCAAGTTTGGTCTAACTTGTTAGCAACAATTATTACACAAAAGTGGCCAGACGCGGTAGCTGTAATCCTAGCACTCTGGAAGGCTGAGGCAGGAGAGTCGCTTGAGCTCAGGAGTTCTACGCCAGCCTGAGCAAGAGTGAGACCTCGTCTCTAATGAAAGTAGAAAAAATTAGCCAGGTGTGGTGGGCACCTTGTAGTTCCAGCTACTTGGGAGGCTAAAGCAGGAGGATCACTTGAGCCAGGAGTTTAATGTTGCAGTGAGCTACGATGACGTCACTGCACTCTAGCCTGGGAAACGGAGCAAGACTCCCTCTCCAAAAAAAAAAAAAATTACTACAAAAAAGTATTACGACAACATAAATGTAATGGTCCAGATATAAAAGCAAGAAATCTAATTGCAAAGAATCTTTTTTGTGATAAATAATGATTTAAGAAATCTAAATTAACAAATTTTAGACATCTTTTTTGTATGAAGGCACATAAACCAGGCCTTCAGAAATTGTCAGGCTCAGGTCCTAACTTCAGGCAGGTTTCACCTAAACATTTAACAGAGAAGATATGTCTTTCTATTACCTGCTCTCAATTCCGAATTTTCCTTACAAGTTTGCTTTGTATTAGAAAAAGTTCTCCATTTTAGCCTGGTCATTCACACTGCTTTGATTAGCATTGGCAGAAAACCGTCTTTCAAAACTCTTGAGTTATATTTAAACATAATCAGGGACTAAGCATGTTCCATTGATTAAATGTAATTCAATTAAGTACAGAGTAGTTCGGACGTGCTGGCAAATGAGGCAGAGTTTTCATAGACTCCAAAGGATGCTAAAAGGTAAAGTGTGGAGAAAGAATTCATAATACCAATTTTAATCAGGACAGTAGAATTTTCTCTCAGATGGGTGAAATGTTGAAGCTTGAAGGCTTTGTCCAGTTCCAGGACAATTCAGAAACTTAATATCTGAAACTGACTGGCAGGTAGGTGGAGCCTGACACCTTTGAAATGGCAGTTGAGATATGGCCTACTATGGCTAAAGCTAAAAATACTTGTGAGAAAAAGAGCTGAAAGCAGAGACAAGAATTTAGAAACGAACATTTAGGTCTAGTCACCAGCAATGTCCATTCTGGTGACGGTTTGATCTTAACTAAACCAATGATATGAAAAAGAACCAAAAAAAAAAAAAATCTCTCTTAAACCTCAATAAAGTAGCATTAATAATATGGCCCAACAAGGGCACCCCTGCATGGTTGGGTAAGTACATTCTGGTTTGCTTTCAGTGAGCCGGGGAATTTGAGGAATAGAAGCAGCAGAGTAAAGAGAGAGGTTCTGACATATTCCAAACACCATTTTTGATGCTGTTCTATTAAAAAGCATGTCATTTCAAAATTGCAATGTTAGATTGTACCTTATTTCCCCCAAGATGAACACTGTGTATGCTAATATTTTATTACCCAAATTGCTCATCTTGTCACAGGTACGGAAAGCAAAGCATTGTTAGACAATTGTGAAAATTACAGAGGGAATTCCTGATACACAATTCTTAACATCTCTAACTAACCTTGTCCTAAAAGTGCATTGATGAGGGCACTAAACATGGATAGTTAAAACATATACCTCTAGTCAGAAATAATTGTTTGTGTAGGTCTCTTACTTATTCATTATTTATTTATGAGACAGGGTTTTGCTCTGTCGCCCAGGCTAGAGTGCAGTGGCACCATCATAGCTCATAGCAACCTCAAACTCCTGAGGTCAAGCAATTCTTCTGCCTCAGTCTCTCGAGTTGCTGGAACTATAGGCATGTGCCACCGTGCCTGGCTAATTTTTAATTTATTTATTTATTTATTTATTTTTAGAGACAGGTTCTCACTATGTTTCCCACGCTGGTCTCTAACTCCTGGGCTCAAGTAATCCTTCTACCTTGGCCTCCCAAAATGTTGGGATTACAGTCATGAGTCACCATGCCCGGCAAGTCTCATATTTATAAAACACTTTTCAGATTTAACAACTTACTTGATAATGTTAAATGGAATAGTCCTGCAGGGTCATAAAAATCTTGGGCTCTTCCAACCTCCTCCAAATCCCGAAAACTGTCCAGCAAACTTATGTTTCTTTGTTGCTTCATAGTGACTATTTAAAATATTTTCAATTTGCCTCAAACTTCCTACTTCCCCTTCCCTCCACTCCGCCACCTTATTTTCGGTAAATTAATCAGCCCCCAACTTCACAGAAAATACAGAAGTCATCAGAGAGGAACTTCTCACAAACAAACCTATCACTTTACTACATTTCCACACATTTCTTCTTCTTTCTATCCTACCATATTACTTTCCTACAAGGAAAAACTAATCCCTGGAAACTGTCCTCTGCATTTCATCTGTCTTTCCTCCTTAGGGATCTCAGAGACCTCTCTTGGAAACAACCTCTCTCTCTCTCCCAGTTCCTTCCCATCAATAACTTTAAAAACACAAAAATAAAATCAAAAGAGCAAAATCTCACTGCTGACTCAGCTACTAGTCTCTCTTTCCTCCTTATCACAGCTAGATTTCTTTAAAAGTTGTTGCTAAGAATACTTCCTGATTTCCCACGACCACCTGGTTTCTACCCCAACTCAATTGAAACTGCTCTGATGGGTCATTAATCTCCACTTTAACATAAAATTCAACAGCTATTCCTAGGTATTTACCTAAGAGAAATAAAAACATACATCCACAAAAATATTTGTATAGGAATGTTCATAGCGGTTTTATTCATA